GTTTCATTCATGATCATTTGGATGGTTGCTCATCTGTCTTTCAGGATTAAACACTCCACTTTCTTCACTGTGGCAGCACTGTGCATCAATGATGGTCTTCGAGGTCTTGGATCGTCTATGAGGGATATGTGACCAGTTTGGACATTCCTTTTCCACTTCATAATAGTGTCATAAGATGGGCAATTGTTTCCATAAACTACCATCATCTCATGATGAATTTGCTGGGCACTATTACCCTACAAATTTTGTTGTTGTTAACTGCCCTCGAGTCTATCTTGACTCATGGCAACCCTATGGATGAGACATCCTCAAGACCCTCTGTTCTCATCTGCTCTGCTTAATTCCTGCAACCCCTTAATACTCGTGGCCTCCTTCATAGAGTCCATCCATCTGGCATGTGGACTTCCTCTCGTCCTACTTCCCTTCATACTGCAAGCCTCAGTCTTCCCCATCTTACTTCTGGCACAACCTGTAACAAAAATAAAGGACACAAAGAGCTGATTTTCTCAACATGAACTTAGGGACCAACATCATGCACTTAGGGACACATCAGATAGCCTGACAACATTTCACCAATATACCATAATAACTTGTGAGTGATAATTATTACTTTACGATAGCCCCTCATATGGATGGTTCACAATTCTGATACTGATACCCATGTAGAGAAACAGAGCACTGAAGTCCTTCACAGACAACAATCATAGTAATAAGAAACTTGATGATGTTGCTGACCATACCCTACACAACACATTTTGAATTTTCAAGGTACTTCAGATAAGCTATCTCAACCACCTGTACAATGGTACTATAAGGCTGATCAGTATTATTCTTCTTTCACAGATAGGAATCTGAAACTACAGGACTATGGTTTACCTTATCAACTTTTGAGTTCATGCAAGAACTGGGAACCTCCTGGATCATATATTAAAGCATTTTCAGAGAGAGGGCAAACAAATGCTAGCAAACAGAAGGCATTGTGCTGATATTCCATCTTTTTCTTCTTACTCTCCCATAGTAAGAGAAGAAGAAGAAATGGGACCGTAAGGGAGGATTACAAGTCAAGGACAAGGACAGCTGGATCTACTGCACAATTCAGTGAATGAGGTAGTGTGGGGACATGATAAAGGCTTTATGTGAAGCTGCTCTTAATTTCTTAGCCATTTTGCTACATCCTCAAGGAATCTGATGTTCCTATACTAGTTTTGCAACTCTGAAATGCAGAGCCCTGAGTGTAACAATAGATGAACAATGTTTGAATTAGAGTATGCTCAGGATGCTTCAGGAGTTACAAATTCTCTGTGATTTAAAGATTATGGCCACAATCCTGCTCACCATGTCCATAGTGTTTGACTATGGTGGAGTAACTGAATCGAACCATTGCATAGCCAATCATATAATGGGTGGCATGGCTGTGCAAATTTCTGAGGCACAACAGGGGAACCAAGCCAAATCTCTGCCAGCTACTAAGAACTGTGCTTAGAAAATCTCTATGCAATGCACCTGCTCTTGCAGTGGTTTCTGTTGGCATCACAGAATTTCTGCTACCCAGAACAGATTATTGACTTTTCACAACCTGAGAAAAAGTCCAACAGTTTGTGAAAGTATAGCTATCCCTGGGTTTTGGCCTGTCTTTCTGTTCTGGTCTGTGTCAGTTCTGACACACCTCATGTCACTTCATCTTCCTCAATATTTCCTGGCCAGAAATACTGGGTGGTGGCAGCAACAAGTGGTAGAACAAGAGGGCTCTTGGAAGATGTCTATACAGCCTAGGCTGACCTTCAGAGCAACAGGACTGGATCAGTGCTACTCAAAATGGTGGTTTTTGGATCAGTGCTGGTTCTTGAGCCATTGGAGGCTGATCCCTGACAAATTTCCATGAAAAAAAAAAGAAACAACTGTTCCCAATGGGCACAAGTCTGGTACCAGTCCCTCAACACACTGGAAAACAATAATTGCCAGACCACCACATCAGATAGCCTGAAAAGCACAGATTAGAGTGCTAAAAAGATATACCTACAGGATGAGGCCTAAAGCAGAGCTTTAACAAATTACTATTTGGACTACAACTCCCAGAATCCCCTACCCAGTGTGGCCATTGGTCAGGCTGGCTGGGGGCTTCTTGGAATGATTGTCCAAATGGTTGAATCATTTAGTGCCTTGGAAGGGAGCAAATTATGGAGGATGGATAATGTGGAAAAGAAATCTCTACCCCATCTGAACTGCAGATAATATTTCCTGAACCTGGCTATGTCCTGAACATAAAAGCAAGATCTAACTTAACTTCCCCCTCGTTCCTTCATTCATTGCAGCTGAAGACAAACACCAGCCTGAGCTGCCATAGCCAGCAAGCTGAAGCTCTGTTACATCAGAAATCCTTTCACCTCCCCCAGCAAATGACATTTATTTCATAAGCAGATGGACTGAGGACTTCTGTTGGCCTTGGTCAGTTTGTTTTTCTGCCATTATTTGAACTGGCTTCTAATGCTTTGTGTGCTGGAGGTTAATAGTTTTTCCCTTTGGTCCTAATTGGCTTTGATTTTCCTTCATCATCTTTTTGCAGACACCAGATAGTGAAAAATACAGAGAAGCCTGTTCAGTCATCCTTTCTTTTCTTTTCTTTTCTTCCACAAATCCCAGATAGCCACTTTTAATAGTAAATACATATAATCAGGATGATGATGGTGATGATGATGATGATGATGATGATGGTGATGATGACTCCATCTTCCCCATAAACATGGCTTACAAATTAAAATTAGTACAGTATAGTTAAATACATGCAAAAGAGCAACATCAAAACAGAATTAAGATATTTTAATTAAGCTATTAAGCTATTTTTACTGTACATCATATGCATTTTATATATTTATTAAATATTACTTTCCAACAGTAAACAACCATACTCAAACAATCAGACATTACACCACCTTTACAAATATAATACAATACAAATAATTCAACTAACATAAAATATAAAACAACTTCCTCCAAAGTTGTAATCATCTGATTTGTCATACTGTACTTGACTTTCTCCTACATAGAATATATACATATGTACATTATATTCATTTTAATTTGTTGCTAGGTTAATTATATCCCACCTAGAGCTCAAGGCAGCTAACAAAAGTGAAACAGTTACAGATTAAAAAAAAAGCTCACATCGCTTTTATCTAATGTGAACTTTTATTTTGATAAATGTTAAAGTATAAAAGCAATTTAAAATCATGCACATGTAAAAAAACCCAAAACCTGTCAAATTATGGTATGTTTTTAAAAGGCCCTTCTCGGTGAGCAGGAAGTTCCCAAAGGCCACTAAAAGCAGAACAAAACAAATGGGTTTTGTCTGCTGCCACTATCAGAAGAATTGCATGGATGGTGCTAGTATATCCTTCTGGAAGGGACTTCCAGAGCCTTGGAGCAGCCACCAAGAAGGCCCTCTCCCATGTTCTCACCAGGTGCACCCCTGGGGCTGGTGAGATGGGGTGAAGGGTCTCCCCTGAAGACATTCAAAACTAGGCAGGCTTACATGGGAGAATACAGTCCTTCAGAGAACCTTGACTCGAGTTGTATGGCACCAGAAACAAACAATCAGTGGATCTGTTCTGACAAAGGAGTTATATGCTCCCTATAACCAGCCCAAGTCAGTAGTCTCACAAGAGCACTTTGGACTGCTGAAACTTCCAAACATTATTCAAGGGCAGCCCCACAGAGTGTGTGTTACGGTAATCCAAATGGGATGTACCTAAGGCATGTGTCACCATAGCCCGATCAGGCATTACTAGGCTTTAACTGTAAAAATGCACTCTTGGCTGTCAGCAAAACGTTAAACTCCAGACTCAGAGTTGAATTGAGTACACACAAGCCTGTGGATCTACATCTTCAAGGAGAGTGTAACCCCATCCAGCTCAGGCCGAATCTTTATTCACTGATATGCCTTTCAGCTAACCAGGAGCACCTCTGTCTTGTCTGGATTAAGATTCAGTTTGCTTCCTCTCATCCAGTCCATTATTGACAGCAGATACTGCATTAGCACCAAAACACTTTCTGGAGTTAGAAACAGTTTGTTCAGAGCTGGTTTTGGATTACAATTCCCAGAGTCCTTCAGCCAGTATGGCTAGTGGTCAGGTTGGATGGGGGGATTCTGGAAGATGTAGTCCAAAAATAGTTTTTGCATGTTCTGCGGCTAGTGGCTACTATGTGGTTAGTGTTTCTCTTTTCCTGATTCTCTCTCTCTCCTCCTTCTCTCTTTTCTCTCTTTCTTTTGCCATGTCACAAATTACCTTTGAACCTTACCTTAATTTCAAGGGTGGTTTATCATTTGGCATAGTTGGACTGTAGTTTGAGTAAGGCAAGCCAGTGTCCTTCTGGACAGGTGGAATTTGTCATGCGGTTCTTTTGGTTCTGGCTATTAGTGTTTGCTCAATTTGCATGGGTCATTCAGGTTACAGTGTTCAGATTACCTTGGAGCATTTTATGTCACTGATTCATTTAATGAAATTCGATATTGTCCTTCAATATTGTTTTTGAGGACAGCTTTTGAAATTGCAAGCAAAAATAAACATTGCCATCTGAACAGCAGTGGAAAAGAGCATCAAAATCCATCTGAAGCCATTTAAATAGTCTCAAAAAATAAAATAAAAAAGATCTTGACTACACATTGGCATGGATATCAAGTGAGGCTCTTGGAAGAGGGACCTCCAAGGATGGTGCACCCTCTGAATTTCAGTCCTGCAGATGGTGGGGCAAAAGGAGACCACTGAGGGATGTCCTCAGAACATTGTAGACTGCAGTGGAATACAGAATTTGTATTCTGCTTACATCTAAAGATTTCAAAGAAGAAATGGGCATATATCATAAAATAAAATAAAGCACAAAATCAGCACAAAGTGGTCCAGATCCTACTGTTAGCTCCTTACTAGATCAGTGGGAGTTACCTATGTGCTGACTCACTCATCCCCAATTGATTCAATGCTCAATAGACCTATTTTGACTGAGAAAGCCAGCATAGTGTAGTGGTTTGAGTGTTGGACTAGGACTCTGGAGATCAGGGTTCAAATCCCTGCTTGGCTATGGAAACCCACTGGCAAGTCATACTCTCTCAGCCTCAGAGGAGAGCAAAGGGAAATCCGCTGCACAAATCGTGCCTCACAGTTACCATAAGTTGAAACAATTTAAAAGCATACAACAACAAAAATAAGCTGATAAATGTTGTTATAATAAAGGCCAGTGCTATAGGGGAGATGGTGATGTCTCACTGCAAGTCACACTCTCATAGTCTCAGAGGAAGGCAAAAGCAAACCGCCCCTGAACACATCTTGCCAAGAAAACCCTGTGATAGGATCACATTAGGGTCAGTATAAATCAGAAACAATGTGGAGGGACACAGCAACAGCAATAAACTTTTATTGAGGATTTTGGCCAAACATCTACCTTTTCCAGAGAAGTAAAATAACTAGGATAAAAATTCAAAGGGTTGTACAAATAGGTGTGTCTTCCTTCTGCATCTGAAAACAAGAATTCTCAGTGAACATCTAAGATAAGGGAGGATATAATTCCTCAGAGCAGGCATTACCACCATCTAAACTTTAAAGACACTATCCAGAGTGCTCCTTTGCAAGGGCTCCACTAGGAAGTGCAGGGAGTACAGACCACACCAGGTGACACCCTAAGAGGGGTGACACCACTGCTCCCCAAACATCTGCCTTTGGGCAGAAACAGACTGTGACATTCACCTGCGTCCCTTTAAAACACTGAAGAGATGGTGTGAGTGGGTTGAGGATCAGTGGGAGGAGAAAGAAGAGGCCTCAGGGTTTTTAATTTTTTTATTTTTAAAAACATTTTAATTTTATTTTAAACCATCACATCTTACCAAATATTAACTTTAACCACATTCAACCGTGTACCTGTAAATACATTTAGGCTGTGCATATGATATTGTAATTTAAAGGTGTAATTTTATTTTTGCTAGTTGTTTACATCACAACTATGACCGTTACGTTCTGTGATATGTGGGAATTACGATTTAGGAGTAACATTAGTACAAAAAGCATTACTAAGGATATGTGAGGAGGTCAATGAGGGGGTGGGAGGTGGAACCATGTGTTACCACACCAGTGCCAACCCTAGTGATGCCACGGCTCCTTTGGCTGCAATCCTTTTGATGCTCCAGGTTTTAGCCTGAACTTTAAAGGAACTAGCCAAGATCCTGAACCCTATTTCCAAAATAGGTTCAGGACCCTGTATAGTTCCTTAAAGTCTGGATTAAAATCAGATTTATCACCACACTGACATACATCAGGAGCTACCTTCCTGTCACTGAGAGAAAGATAGGACAATGATCTGGAGGTGGTGATGCCACATGGACCTAATGCCTTGTCCAAAGGGAATGAGCAAAGAATGGCAGTATTTCAGAATAAACACTGAATGTGGAAACACTCCAAGATAGCTGTGTTGTGTGGTGTGTGTGTGCATGTATGTGTGTGTCCCTGTAGGCTTCAGCAGTGCTTTAGGAGCATCCAGCAGAAATGCATCAGGGCATTTGCTTGAGGGTCCACTGTGCCTATGGAAAGAGCTCTGTTGGATTGCGTCAGCCTCTTTGAAGTCCCTTTGAGTGTTGCCCATAGCTTAGTATTACAGCATTGCCAGTCCTGTAGGGTTCCTACTTGAGATTCCAGAAAGACTTTGGGCTTCTTCTCACATGAATTGCGTGCAACTTGTCATAAACTGAGACCTATGTTGACAAACTACTCTTTAAGTGGTTTATGGTTGGCCATTTAAAGCATAGGACTCAGGCTGAGTGAAGGGACTAATTTTTGAA